ACCAAAAATAAAAGTTCTTGTGACATAGGTATTAACCCAAAACATCTTGTGACATCAGTATTTACCCAAAAAACAAGTTCTTGTGACATCAGTATTAACCCCAAAAAAGTTCTTGTGACATAGGTATTAACCCAAAACATCTTGTGACATCAGTATTTACCCAAAAAACAAGTTCTTGTGACATCAGTATTAACCCCAAAAAAAGTTCTTGTGACATCAGTATTAACCCCAAAAAAAAAGTTCTTGTGACATCAGTATTAACCAAAAATAAAAGTTCTTGTGACATAGGTATTAACCCAAAACATCTTGTGACATCTTGTGACATAGGTATTAACCCAAAACATCTTGTGACATCAGTATTTACCCAAAAAAACAAGTTCTTGTGACATCAGTATTTACCCAAAAAAAAACAAGTTCTTGTGACATCAGTATTTACCCAAAAAACAAGTTCTTGTGACATCAGTATTTACCCAAAAAACAAGTTCTTGTGACATTAGTATTAACCCAAAACAAGTTCTTGTGACATCAGTATTTACCCAAAAAACAAGTTCTTGTGACATCAGTATTTACCCAAAAAACAAGTTCTTGTGACATCAGTATTAACCCAAAACAAGTTCTTGTGACATCAGTATTAACCCAAAAAACAAGTTCTTGTGACATCAGTATTAACCCAAAACATCTTGTGACATCAGTATTTACCCAAAAAACAAGTTCTTGTGACATAGGTATTAACCCAAAACATCTTGTGACATCAGTATTTACCCAAAAAACAAGTTCTTGTGACACAGAAACTGAGAAAGTATGTCTGGGGATCGTCATTTATCATTTATTCTTATCCCTGTTTTCTCCACCATTAAATACAGTTGGCTTTCATAAAAAATATTCTCATGATCATCTTTTAACATTTGTTATTCTACACATAATGGAAACCTGACGAATATAAATGTCATTGTTCGCATAACTTCTAGACAAAAATAGACAAACTTTTCCTTATTTAGCTAGTTTATGATGTGTTAAAGATGTGACAAGAAACCCTATTATACGTAAATAATTTTACAAAATGTAAAAAAGGGGTCAATTATAAGGAAATAAGATATATCAACGTTAGTGAAGATTTTATCTTTTTATCTAATCATAATCTGATGTTATATTTATAGGTACTAAAAATACTTCTTTAGTAGTGAGCAAATCGGAAAAATAGTCTGTTATGGGTTATACATGTATTTTACGTGCAACCTAAGAATACCCTGGTGAAACTCGTATTTTTTTTCCCTATTTAAACAACCAGACGCTTTTCCTCGCCCGACCCTCCATCCAGCACCACTGACAGGGGTAATGACTGGAAAATCCTAAAGAACCTCCTACTTCGTTGTTAGTAAGTCCGTGAGAATACTCATTGACGCACCCCATCGTGTCTCTCGGTCACTGGGAGGGCCTGACAAGGACAGCTGTCTAGTCGTTTGGATGGGTTGAAAAACCGAGGTCCCATGCACATTAAAGATCCCTTGGCGGTTGGAATTTAATATAAGAGTAGCTGGTGTCCAGAGACTTGAAACCTCATGTTATCTCATTTCTCCTAATCCAATCTGATTAAAATACACATCTATATTTCTTTTCGTTTTTTTTTTACTTTCGATGGCCTACACTACATGAAGATCTGACTTGCTGTAGCGATAGGTCACGTCAGAGGTCATACAAGCGGCTTTTAACCTCATGACGTCAGACATTTGATTAACCAATCAGCATTGATGTTACTAGTGGATTACCCACAGTTCCGTGTAAAACACGCCTAAAGCTCGCCGTAACAGACCGTTTCATTGGCTTATACCTGACACCATTCAGAACACAAGTTAAATAACAACTCTTCCAGATCCTAGTGTAGTAAAGATAAGTAAAACAAAATTTTGAACTATAAAAAACGACACGAAATAGGATCTGTGTTATAATCAGATTGCTCTTAATCATGCCAATCTTATGTTGAGCCTCTTTTTAATTCAAGTTAATCCAAGCCAGAAGATTATCTATCATTGAAATTTTGATTTTGTTTTCTTAAACATATTGCAAGTCTTAATTTAGGCTTCAGATGTCATAGAAATTATAAATTAGATCTTTATTTAAACAACAAGTCCAAAATCAACTCTGTAGACCCAAGGATGGCTCGGCTACAGCTCGGATTTAAATAGGATTTCACTTATTGATTAAATCAAATATGGCGCACCCTGATGAGAATTCGTCAGTTAGATCGAGGCTAAATGATAGAGTGTACTTAGCGAGGCCGCTGTAGAGCGTTTCCGCATGCCATTGAAAACTTTACTTGATAATCGAGATATGTAGGTGGAGTTAACGCCTGTCAATCAAACGATCGGCCAAGGTTAAGGCACGTTTCACTGCCATTTCTAGTCAAATATTACAACGATGATAACTATGTTCAGAATAAAGTAATTTGACTGAAATTTTCAATATATTCTTCTTTCATCATCTACTTTTGAACTGTTATAGCGAGAATGGCCAACTCTCTATAAAAATCTCCCATAATGTATCTTTAATCACATGTTAAATAATAAAATTGAGTAAAATTTAGTGTGGATAAAGCTGTCAAGCCTTCAAAATAAAATGAGGTTTAGTGTCCTACTGTTCTGCACTGACTGGGCTAATAAAGACGGGCATACGCCATACAGTGTGCTATGAGGGAAATTTTGCCCGGGCAGCAGCACTAATGCCTACTCTTATATTGAATTCCAACTGTCAAGGGTTCTTTCATGTGCACGTCAATTTGCACACAGGACATTTGTTTTTGGTCCCATCCGAATGACCAGACAGCTGTCCTAGTCAGGCCCTCTGTCCTGCATTACTGACAAGAAGAAACCATGCTGGAAAATCATTTATGGCAAGATGGGGAGTGGACTGAGACCTCCAGACTAGCACCATAGGGGTCTTTAGCAGTGGGAGGAAACCGGAGGACCCGGAGAAAACCTACGAGGTTTGGACAAGCGACACTACTCCTTGTCATGTACAAGCAGGGAATCAAAACCACACCAGTTGACTCAATGACAGACCTCATGATAAAGCACTTATGTGCTAAACATTCGACCATCCAGCCCCCAGCTGGCACGATGGTTCCTCAAGAATTCGAAAGGCTCCAAAAACTGAAGTATAGTGTCAGCATTTGACATGACTTGTGGAATATGTCTAGCCGCGTTCTTTGAGTCCCCTGTTCTAAATGGCGCTGAAATGCATTATGGTACACGATTCGTGTACCAATGGTAAAATGTTTATTTTGTCTTGAATAGTGGATATCAGAAGCCCATCTTTTCCCTGTAAGATCACAAGACCAATGTTGATTTGAAATGACAAATAATTTGTGTTTTCAATGTCGAAGATTTTTGATGATACTGAGTTAGAGACTTAGCTACTTTAAGTAAACATTGTTTTATAATCTGATATATAATAATAACTTTATATAAACTATATGACAGACATGTTTATATAAATACACACCTCACATGATACATACGGTAAAATCATTATATACATCATTCTCGCTCCATTCACTACAATATTATATACATCACAAGGGAGATAATAAACAGTTCTTTGTTTATCTTGTAGATTTTTGTTTTGCGTGTAGTGCGGTCCTCCTGCACTTACTATTTGATATACATGTACAGTTGTACATGTAGTATACTGTTTGTATGAATGTATTGAGTTGTCTATGTAATATGTATTATTGAATGTATGTGACTATGTCTAAGTGTATTTGTATGCATGCTGTCCTTCATGGACGTTTTGATGCAATAAACATCTTATCTTATCTTATCTTATGTATGGAGTCAGACTACTAATTTTCTTTCCATTGACTTCAATATTATATCCTTGATTCCAACGTGGTTTCTCCTGTCAGTGGTGCAGGCCGGAGGATCTGACAAGGACAGCTGTCTAGTCATTCAGATGGGACAAAAAAACGAGGTCCTGTGTACACATTGGTGTGCACGTCATAAAAGATCCATTGGCAGTTGGAATTCTTTATAAGAGTAGGCTATAGTGCCGCTGCCCGGGCAAAATTTCCCTCATAGCACACTGTATGACGTATGCCCATCTTCATTAGCCCAGTCGGTGCAGAACAGTAGGACGTTAAACCCCATTTCATTTCATTTATATCCATGACCTGTAACATTTCTTTGAACATTCGGATGATTTTAATTTTTATAACCACAAAGCGTCCAATATGTCACAATCATCAGATAAAGATATTCGCTAGACCAATGGAATCTATCGGCTGTGACGTGATTTTGGTAAAGGATTTCCGTAATTCATGTCAGGCCTATATATGGTATGGTGACTATAATTATCAATCTTAATCCTGATAAAACAACACTAGTTATCTCCCTTTAATACATAATCTATCATTTGTTTCTATATTCTTTTAAAAATCCAGACAATGTTGACGACTGGACTCAGTAAATTGTGGGACGTGGATGGCCGAATGGTTAGCAGTGTGTTTTGTACCATAAAGCCTGTCATTGAGTCAACAGCCTTTCATTGATTCAACTGGCGTGGTTTCGATTCCCCATTTGTTTGTGACTAGGAGTAGGGTCACCTGTCCAACCTTGTGTGTTTTCTCCAGACCCGCCTGATTCCTCCCACTGCTAAAGACCTCTACACGCAAGCGAATTATTGAAATACAAAAGAACTCTCTCTCTCAGTAAATTGGTCAAATCTATTTTTTCAGTGGGTCAAAATCAGACGTGTTTCTCCGCTTCCATTACCAGTTCTGACTCTGCCAATTACATCATGATGTAGTGTGGTGTTTATAAAGAGGTATTTAGAAAAATTTAAAAAATAATACAGTAGCTATCATTGTTATCCACCTAATTTTGACCAACTTTAGATCTTTTACATAGGCTAAGCCTGTTCCCCAATCCCATTCAGACATCCTGAATAAAAAATATTGTTTATAAAAAAAAAAATAAATAAATAAATAAATCATGTTTATTTTGTAGATGTAGTTAAAAGAATCCAAGATTCAGAAATCCAAATGATCATCCTGTATAGCTTGGTGAGTAGAATATCATTTTCTGGATACTTAATTAATATTACAGTATATACAACAACCCAGCAAAGAATTGCTGTCTCTCAGGTCAACGTAAACCGTGCTGTTTGACATATAGTTAATGACTTTACTGGCACATGGCTAGAGAGGGAATGCACATGGATAGTGAGGGGATCCACATGGCTAGAGAGGGAATGCACATGGATAACGAGGGAATGTACATGGATAGTGAGGGGATCCACATGGCTAGAGAGGGAATGCACATGGATAACGAGGGAATGTACATGGATAGTGAGGGGATCCACATGGCTAGAGAGGGAATCCACATGGCTAGAGAGGGAATCCACATGGCCAGTGAGGGAATGCACTTGGCTAGAGAGGGAATGTACATGGATAGTTAGGGGATGCACATGGCTAGTGAGGTAATGTTATCATAAACACAAATGTTTCAGTCCCCAAGATTTTTAAACCTAATCCTATCCCTGACAGTAAACATGAGTGGGGAGGGTGGCAATCTTGTTTTAGCCACATCTTTTGCCACAGACTTCAAAAGAACATGAGAATAGGACAAGAACTAGGACAAGGACTAGGACAAGGACAAGGACTGGGAGAAGGACTAGGACAAGGATAAGGACAAGGACAAGGACTGGGATAAGGACTGGGATAAGGACTAGGACAAGGACTAGGATAAGGACAAGGACAATGACAAGAACTAGGACTGTCTAAACTGGTGGGGTTTCTCAACTTTTCTTCTAATAGCGAATTATTAAAACACAATTCTACCATATGTTCGTCCCGAAATGGTCTAGTTTCTGTTGAGTGGACATTAAACCCCATTTCATCCTCTCTCATTTTGAAAAAAACGCAAAGATAAATTTTAATTATCAGTTGATGCTACAGAAAAAGAGAAGTCGGTATTGCTTAATTAATAACCAATCACCTAAGGTGACAATTGATAATTTAAGGAATCTGTTCACTCCACTCGAATCGTAAAAACTTGACAAAGTCAACCCAAATCAATCTGACGAGAATATCAAGGATATACCTCAAATCATGTTTCTCACAGGGACTTTTTTGAACATTCTAGAGGGAGGCTGCAACACCTTAAACCATTCAGAGTTAAATTTCAACACGGCAACTGACATCCCAATTTCCAATATATCTGTCAGATTTAAACCAATCTGATTAAAATACAGATCTATAATTTGTTTCGTTTTTTTTATACTTTTGATGGCTTCTACTACATGAAGAACTGACAAGTTGTACTGGAAGGTCGTGTTAGGTTTCATACGAGCGGCTTTTGACCCTATGATGTCAGACATTGATTAATCAATCAGCATTGACGTTTCTAGTGGTTTACCAACAGTTCCATGCAGAGATCACCAAGAACTCGTCATAGCATACCGTTTCATTGGCTAATCCCTCATATCAACTAAAACGGCTGTTATATACAACTCTTCCAGATCCTAGTGTAGTTAAGACAGGTAAAACGAAATTTTGAACTATAAAAAACGAAACGAAATAGGATCTGTGTTTTAATCAAATCGGATTTAAAACATACCTGTTGCTACGATAAAATTCTTCCAAATGACTAATCTAGACATAGTCTGGGCAAATAACATCACAACATTCACTCCTAATCCAAATGACTAATTTAAACATAGTTAGGACAAATAACATCTCAACATTCACTCCTATTCCAAAATGTTCAACTTCACAAGAGAAATATTAGATTTAAAATGTAGACTGAAGCCTACATGTATATATGAGCCAGTATTTTATCTTGGCTCTAGAGTAATAAATTTCTTGATATTTTCACTTGATTCTACGTATACTTTATCATAATGAGACATTTTGTTCAAATTGGATTTTAACATAACTAATAAAATGAAATGAAATGAAATGGTGTTTAACGTCCTACTGTTCTGCTCCGAACTGGGCTAATGAAGACAGGCATACGCCATACAGTGTGCTATGAGGGTAATTTATGCCCTGGCAGTGGCACTATCGCCCACTCTTATATCGAATTCCAACTGTCAAGGGATCTTTTACGTGCACCCACCCTCTTCTCTCTTTACAATATCAATAATCTTTATCAAAAAAGGTCAAAATTGAGGAGAGGGATTATCATAGGTTATGCCACCTTCCTTCCACATCCCGTCCGATCTGGGCATCAGTCAAGGAGAGGGATTATATAGGTTATGCCACCTTCCTCCAACATCCCATCCGATCTGGGCAGTTCTTGTAGTATCTATTTGTTTTTAAATTCCAAATGCTATCAGTAATCCTATGTGCAAAGCGCAAGAGATAAAAATATTAGCAGACTGTCTCCTTACGATGTGCTTATAACTTAATAAATGTGCAGGGTGCAAGTGATAAAAATCTCCACAGAATGTCTCATTACCATGTGCTTAACTTAATAAATGTGCAGGGTGCAAGTGATAGGAATCTCGGCAGAATGTCTCATTACCATGTGCTTATAACTTAATAAATGATGAAAGATTTTAGAAGCTGATTATTTACATCTATTTATTAGTTTTAAGTGTGGTTAACATGAAAGGAAGGTTGTCATGGCGAATCTATGAACACAAACTAAAAGTAACATAGTTGATTTTCATTTTTCGGCAATTATTCAAAATATAATTCCCGCTAGTACTTGGGTTGATTATCTGGAGTAACAATGCATCTTTTGTATTTGTTGTTAAAATATCAAATTTCTTACGACTTAATCTACTACTCTGAGTGATTATTTAACATACCAACACAATTAGATTCCATTTGATTTAAACTAGGCAAATCAATTTGGTTCTATCCAGCAGCGTAGATCAGTTCCTCATATCTTTGTAAATACTGAACTATTTTTGGACTATTAGAGATTCGGGGGATCATAGTGGCTAAGTGGGGAAGACGCTGGCTCGCTAGCCTGGAGGTCGGGTGTTCGATCCCTGCATTGGTCGAGAAAGTTCATCTAGATTTTCCAGCGTGGTTTCCCCTTCTCAGTGATGCAGGACGGAGGGCCTGACAAGGACAGCTGTCTAGTCATTCGGATGGGATAAAAAAGCGAGGTCTCATGTACACATTGGCGTGCACATAAAAGATCCCTTGACAGTTGGAATTCGATATAAGAGTAGGTGATAGTGCCGCTGCCCGGGCAAAAATTTCCCTCATAGCACACTGTATGACGTATGCCCGTCATCATTAGCCCAGTATAGGAGCAAAACAGTAGGACGTTAAACCCCATTTCATTTCAATTTTATTAGAGATTCATCTTTTACAATATTAGTAGTTTACGAGGGTTTCCTCAAGTGACGATATTATAGTTTGTCAGGGATTCTTTAATACTTCAGTCAATATAACATTGTGTCGACTCTTCCATTTAGGGGCTGAACTAGAGAGAGAGAGAGAACTCAACTCAAATAAGGTTTTTTCAGGACTAATATAAGGGATGATGTCATCATTTTGATAATTTGCTTGTACAAAAGGGGTCTTTAACAGTGGGAAAAAACTCCAAAGAAAATCCATCACATACAGCAAGCCAGGGATTTTTACCACGCCACTTGATAGAATGACAGACCTTATGATCTAATATCAACTCAACTCAAACTAGGTCATTTTGAAACTAACAATAATTGGCTTGCTTATCAGTTGGAGTAGATGATGCTATTCCTGTTCACACACAAGTAGGGGATTGTTACGTCAATTACTGATAGCAGTATGATCTATTTAAGAATACACTTGATTCAATCACGGATCGTATGATAAGTTAGTTCACTAACTGTCATATAAGTTAGATCAGCTGACTGTATATAATTTATAACTAATTAAGAAACTAGATCTTCTACTAGAATATTCCAATATTTTCCATCTATCTGCATAGCTCAATTGTTTATTGTTTAAAATTATGATAAAACTAGAAATTTTACAACACAACATAGACATGTTTAAATAGAGTTATTTCCCTTACACTGTATTGTCATTACCCTTTGAACAAAGCCATCTATCTGACATATAAAATTATATGTACAACTTCATTTTCTAATTCAAATTATTTTTTCTCGATTAATGAAATTGTTGGAGTAAAAGTTAAATATAATAGAGTTTGAGATCACAGGCAATCAACAGTATGGTACTTCAATTTAAATACAGAGAGAGAGGGTGTGGGGGTGGGGGTGCTTTAATGTCCACTCACACACACTAGGTTATTTTAGGACTCACTTATGGATGGTTGATTTTTATTTCAATATTTCGCTTGTGTGTAGGGGTCTTAACAATGGGAGGAAACCCGAGGACCCGGAGAAAAACCAACGAGGTTGGACAGGCAACCGTAAATTCCTTCAAAATGTACTAGCGAGGAATCGAAACCAATGAAAGACCTTCTGATAAACGTGTTAACCATTCGACCACCCCCCTCAATATAAACAGTATTAGGTCCGATTTTTTAAAAGCAATCAATTTCAACTGAAGTTATTTTAATTTAAAGATACATTATGTAGGATTTAGATAAAGAGCTGACGGTTCTTGCTATAATAGTTTAGACATAGATACATTATGTAAGATTTAGATAAAGGACTGGTCGTTCTTGATATAATATTTATATTAAAGATACATTATGTTAGTTAAAGGACTGGTCGTTCTTGTTATAATAGTTATATTAAAGATATATTATGTTAGTTAAAGGACTGGTCGTTCTTGTTATAATAGTTATATTTAAGATACATTATGTAAGATTTAGATAAAGAGCTGACAGTTCTCAATATAATAGTTAAAGATAGGTTTCCAGGTAACGAAACACATGCCCACAGCAGCTAAATTTGTCCGGACATTTAACAAGAGTTGTCACATATTTTTACTTTTTTTGGTAATGAAACATTTATAATACACTAAAATCTAATTAAGAGTAACAACTCATTAAGTATTATCAGAAAATCATTAAAATTTGTTTGGTTTTTATAAAGTTCTGCCCCATGCTAACGTTTAGTATACTAAACATTTAATATCATGGATTT